AAAAGCAGTCAGTAGGTTTTGGTAAAAGATGTCACTGCCGCGGCGTGTGTTCCTCGACAGGAAGAAGTCGTCCCAATCCTGGGAATCCAGTGTGGGCGAAAAAGCTCGTAAAATGTCCGGTAAGAGGAAATGAAAGATGGATGGACTCAAAGGAGCAGTTTGGCCATAACTAACTACGTTGCGAGAGACGATGCAGTGGTCACTTCCTGGGAAGCGTGGGCCAACTGTAGCTGTAGCCAAATGGCCATCGTTAGAGAATATTAGGTCCAGAGCATGTGGGCCACGAGTGGGACTACGTACAATTTTGGACTAGCCCTCCACACCAAGTTGTGCAAACAGTGCGGTGTAATGTGCAGGGCCCATGGCGGAGGAACGGGAAATGTCCGGCAGGTTGCAGTCACCCAACAGAAATTTAGACGGATGAGGAAGGGCATGTGCAGTGGAGATGATACGCGAAAGATCAGCAATAGAGGAAAGGGAGGGAGCAGGTTGTAACTAGATACAACTTACTAGTACAGGTCGTTTGGTCTGTTCTATTGATATGGCCTCTGGAATCCCTTCCGGAGAAGGATCATCAAATGGGGTTGCACGAAATTTTGACTTGGAATGGATGGCACAGCCACCGCCCCTTGAGTCTTTCCTATCGGAACGGTAAGCATCATAGCCAGGGAGTAAGATGGCCGTGTCATCGTCTGTGAGACATGTTCCGGTCGCACATATCATACTTCGTCGTGCAATAGCTCCAATTGCTCGGAGATTATGGATGTTGGGCAGCAATGAGCGGGCACTGAACAACATTATCGACAAGCTCATTGGCGAGTAAACGGTACCAAATAGGAACTTTGTAACCTCACTCACGATGGGGTTCTGCACTGGGGGGACTGAGTGCATGGTGATGAGGTTATATGAAACAGTTCCGGAGTCTGGGAGGGAGCATTCAGTACTGGTTGTAGATGGGTGAATCGTCGTTGAAATAGGTTTTTACCCACGGCAGGAGGTACTGTATCAGGCTCAGCATAGGGTACGGAATGGCTTTGGGAGGAGAGTATGCAGTTGAATGTAGAGTTGTCGGCTGTGTCATCTGAGTTCTGAATCGCAGGTATAGAGGAGGACAGGGTGCGAAAAGGGGTGGTGGCTGTGGAGGACTGGGTGGTTGCTGAAAGTTGTGTTCAGGCGGGACGAAAGTTGGTGACTTGGGCAGTGACAACGGATGAGAATCGGAACTAGTCATGGGTTGTAGTGGATACTAGATTCTTCCGGGCCCGTGGCGTCTATGGCTGGATGTGCTTTTCAAAGGTTGCAAAGGTGTGGCTAAGCGTGGCTTCGAAGTAGGCAGGGGCGATAGATTCCGAATAAGTATCGCGGGTGGGTGAAGAGGGGGTATTCGTGGATTTTGCACTGCCGGGGGCGTTGCAATACCAGGCTCTGATAGTAGGTGTTTGAGCCCGAGGGCACGCTTTGGTGGAAGGGGGCGAAGTTCATTGTGTCGGGGGGTCTGGAGCGAGAGACCATGTTCTCATCTTCGATTGTAGCACCGGATCGGGGCTGGTAATGTACAGCATCCGAAATCACAGGTGCGAATTTTTTGATGCAGTTGAGGTCAGAGGAGTCGCGGGCAGGTGTCCAAGGGTAGAAGTGGAGGGCTCATGATCATGAAAAAGAGAGGCAGGGCTGGGGGCCATTTTGAGGGTGTGTGGCATTTGGCCGCAAGTTTCATGAGTACTCTGCGACTGAGTCACATCGGAAACATTTAGTGGTACGGATTGTTGAACAGAATATGGATTGGTTTCATGTTTGTCAGTAGTCGGTTGTAGAAGTTTGGAGAGTGGGTTTCTTGTGAGCTGGCTTTGTAGTCTGGTGCGAGCAGCCGTGACCTTTACGGTCTGGAATGTCTGGGTCGAGGACAGAAGGGACAAAACGCTAACAGGCGCGTTGCATCGTCTTCATCTCTGAATTGCATTAGCCGTGGGCAACCGTCGGGCTGTATAGACTGTGTCATGCATGTTACACGCTGTCAAGGTGGCGGCTTTTTTGCGTTCTATCGGGATGAGATGGGGGACATTATATCCTAAGACCTGTTTACGGCCTTCCGTACGCCGACCAATCTCCGAGGCGAGCATGTCAATGAAGACTGAGCCTTTGCAAGATCTGATGGATCACACATTGCATCAGGGGTTAGAAGGCAGGCAAGTGGCTGCATGATACGATAGGGTATCACACGAGCACTGGGATCTGAAAGGTCGGTGTGGAGCTGAGATTCTTTTGGCGAAGAGGAAAGAAGATAACTACCGGGTGCGGCAGGAAGGGGAATGTCAGTTAGTACAACTGAGCAGGTTGAATTTATCAACCGGCCATTAAGGATGATGAGGTTTAGCGCTATGCCTTTCGCCCTCAAGGCATTTCTTTGGACACAAAGAGGGGAAGGATGATGGGGAATCAGGGTCAAAGAAGCGCCTAGAGAAAGATGGAACTGGTGGCATTGTTTGATTCAAATCAGGTAATGGTAAGCCTCAGTGAGATTTTGCTAGCAAGCTTATACTCAGTGGGGCCTAATCAAGCTAGAAAGAGTTGGAGGGGTGGCTGGATGTGATTGAAAATGAGATATCTAAAATAGGTAGCTAAATGCTATACTAGAGTAAGTAAAACGCTACGGTGGTGGTTCCAAAATGTTTTTACAACACCTGGCGTTACAAGATAAATAACTCAACCGAGGCGAGTTCAATACCAGCGGCAATAAACATTAGTCGGCAGTGCTTTTTCTGATTTTCTGAATTTAAAGGCCAGGCTCTGAACCACCGACGGTGGGTTATGCGGCCGTGCTACTGGAGGAGTTGCATGTATACGAATACGCCATGGTGCAGCGCAATGGAGCAACCCCCTGCAGGGCGTACTCGTCCACCACACGAGGTTTTCATCCCATGTGCATGCTACTAGATCTGCAAGTTGGAAAACCACCTAAGCAGGCATAAGTGCGGTTAGCGCAATTATAAATACTCCAGCAACCATTTTAATGAATTTTGTGCATTGACAAATACCCCAGCTACCAGCTGTCATTTGCCAGTCGGAAGATAGCAAGGCCAGTGAAGAGGGCTCAGTCAACTCAAACAAGCAAATAGCATACAAACGCTGGTGAAGCAAGTCGCGAAGGACGCAGGTGCAATGAGAGCTGCCAATGGGACAATGATAATGGAATGGTGGTATTCAGGGCGAGTGCGCCATGGCTATACGGCGTCTGAGCATTGGTGTGAACTGCCAAATCAATCAGGAGACTACCGCGATGTTGTGTGTGAGAGTATTTAGTGGAGTAAGTAATCAGACTGACATATATATATATACATATATAGGCGTAGAATGGACTCTGGTAATGAAGAAAAAAGTTAGGTTTGGTTTGGGTCTTGTCAGTTAGAGTCAAGCTGACAGCGTCAGTCACTGGACAGAGATGATAAAGCAATCCGGGGTAAGGACTGGACTAGAACAAGGTACAAGTTGGCTAGGGGGAGAAAGACAAGCAGGCTGGTAACACAGATTATTTAGGTCAAGTGGGCGTTTAATTCAAGAGGATAGGAGGAAATGATAACAGTCTTTCACTCGCCCACCAAATGTATGGTAGCAAAATTCAAATACGCACTGAACCCGATTTGTAGGGGAGGTTGGGTGTTAGTTGGGTAATAACTAAGGCGGCAGCAGGCTCACAGCTAAGGAATTTGTCTGCGGACTGAGAAAAGTATGATGATGCGTGATGTTTTGCAGCTGCTCAGGCAGCCTGTTCCAGATGCGAGCGTAATTAACTAGAAAGAAGTGGTGGCGTAGGTTTGTTCGAGCTGGAGGATACACTAAGAGGTTGCAGGATTTACTGAGTCTGTAGTGAGGTCGTGGGTTTACGTTTGGTCTAGCCTCTGCTATAAAAACGTTCTTATGCAGCAGATGGTGTAAGACAGTTAAGTTCATCTTAAACCGTCTGAGAAATAATGGTTCGAGGCCTAGGATTTGGCAGCGGGAGCGGTAAGTGAGGGGGTTGGACCGAGGGAACAGCTTTTCGTTAATGAGCGCTAGGCACTTTAGATTGCGAGTCTGCAACGTTGGGTGTAAAGGGAGGGAAATGCGGGACGGAATTCCACGAGTGACCTCATGCACAGTTTAAAGATTGCAACCATTGTGTCTGGAAGGTGGCAGGAGCGCAGCATTAAAAACTGAGACCGCGTGCTTTGGCGTCCTCAAGCCCAAATACACCGGTGGAAAATAAGGCCAACCACTGCGGGCCACTGTGAAACCAGCACGCGCCGGCTACTAACTTGGATACTTACTCTAACTGTTAGGCCCTTGTCCATGTGCGGCATTAATTATGAAGCCCCATCTATGCGTGATGACCTGGTCTATGGGTCGACAGTGGCCTGTTATACGCATACCCGTACTCGATGTCGCCCACCTTGACTGTTTATTGTAACTCCCGTGTCCGTATCCATGCTCGCAGTTGACAATAAGACCCGACAATACATAATGGACTAATCGAACGACTAAAGGTGGTTATTCATACACACACATGCCGTCCGTTTGCCTAGCATACGCCTGAAAAATACACAGCCACTCCTGGCGAATCATGTTTCTATTTATTGGCTTCATCAGTACAAACGTAATGTGTAGTCAGTCAAGTACTCAGTTTCGCGAAGACGCTAGCACCCGACAGGGTTTCTGAAATAAAACCCGTATAAGCAATCACGACTCGTACACACAGCACAATTAAACAAATTTATGGTGGCCGACTGGCCAAGTAATCAATATATCCCGTTGTCCACAGTATCCGATCGGTGTCCACGATGAAGCTGGAGTCTTACTGGAGTGTGAATTATTGGACATAGCGAGCTTTAGATACAGAAGGGTGTATGCTAGTCAACCGTAGGACCAAGCTTTATAGAATTGTCCCGTCTGACACAAGGACTGAATGAGTCCGCAACCGTGCACCCATGGGTGCAGCCGTAGCGAAAACCTAGTGAGTTAGCGGGCACTTTGCGTCAATTGTGCCCATTTAGGAAACTAAAACTCAACTTCCCTTCACTTCAGCTTTCCGATACCAATACAATGCAGCTGAGTAGAATCGACTTGTAGCCATCCCATGCTCAACCACAGTAGCGGTCTCGCCAACTAGGGGCTCCATTCTGAGAAACTGATCAGCTAACGTGCTTGCGTTTGCAACTTTCAGCATCTGGTTACATATAAATAAGCCTCCAAATCTCAGCTGCCAGCTATTCCAAGCTATTTTGAGGCCGTATCCTGTGTCCGCCTTTTAGGTTTGGTCCAATCCAATTCATCGTTCCTGCCAAAGTACTGCAACCATTCTTCACCTCCAAAACCATGTCTACGATATCCGCATAGTTGAGCTACTAAGACAGCCACATTTGATGCAGCCCAACTGTTTCAGGTGATGATGATGGTCCAACTAGACTCCAGGGTTTACTATATCCCATTGTACAGGAACACGTATTCTTCAACCCACATCTGGGTGACCAACAACACCACAATGCCACTACTCTCAATTGTCCTTTGGGTGGTCAGTTGACCCTAGTCCTCAATAATCCACCCCCTCGATCCATACCTTACATGCCTATCCGCATACGTCTCAACCAATGGACCTTTTCGGCCCAATTAATGCTTTTTCTGGTGCTGGACATATTCATCAACAGAAGTCCTTGCTGCACAACCGAAAAATTACCACCAGATCAAGGGTCAGCCACATCTCCGATATACCTAGCCACCTTAACCACTCAAATTCGGGCGCGGAAATCAGTACTTTTTCGGAAAATGTTGGTTCAACATACAGAATACATGGCCCGGTCAACTCAGCTTCTGGTGCCGGACACACATCTTAATGGAAGTACCCGTTTCGCAACCAAAAATCGCTTTATATTTGCTCCTTTACGGATTTGCCGACACTGACCCACATGAGCTATGGTTCTGAGGCAACAGTTGTTAAACACCTGTTAAAAACCTTAGTTCGGCTGCTCGAACAAGTTAATTCTCACAGCCGTACGGAAGTCCTACTCCATCAATACTTACATGTTTTACTTCCCCAACCACATCATCTCTTTGCGCGCTTATACTGGTTTTCTCTAGATCTCTTGTACAATATTGGCATTTATTAGCAAACTACTTCATGCCTGATCGCCAATATACTAAGTACAAAGATACTCTTAACCTGACTCAATTATTCACTTGTTGGTTGCACACTAATTGCGGCAAACGTTAAGTTTTTTCCCTGTAATAATGCAAATTATCCTGTCGAATGTCTCCCATACTCACCGAACCTTACTGACCTCACCCCATTCCCCCGTCTTCTCAAGCGTCGGCCCTCGGCGATCCCAACTTTGAACACCCTGTTTGACTGTCATCCACTCCACCTGGCCTGCGATTTACATCCATAGCGATCCACAGCCAGACCAGAGAATGCCTGTGGCCCTATACCGCATTCAGTTTACCTTCGCGGATTTTCTTGAATGACCTGAAAAAATCCCACCGTTCAAAGTAATGCACAGCCCAAAAGCCATAAGTATGATGTCCGTTACGGCGCTCCAGAAGCCGGATTATTTCAAGCCAATGGAGACGCAACACTGACCTACCCAGTTCGATATCACACAAGCGACTGTCCCCTTCCTACTGTTGACTGTGCCCCCTCGCCCACTCATTCCATTACCTGACACTACGAACAAACTCGTGTTTTATCATGACTGTAACCTTATGACCATTCCTGACGAAATGCCGCCAACCGATTGGGAATAAGCATTATTATTATAACCTTATGCTCTGTGGGAGCACACCAAAAGGTGAAATGATCAGTCCATCTAGAAACACCTGCGCCATTTCCTCCCCTTAGAAGATGAAAACCATGTCTGTACATTCCCTATCGAAAAGGGGTTTTGTCAGAAGGTATTTGGAAACCAGGGTTCGGTGCTCTTCTAATTCTCTGGTCTATCATGGAATTAAATGGGAGTGGATGACATCAGCAACCCCGATAGGCATCGCTTGCATACGGAAACCTTTGGAGAGCTCTCCATATCATTGCATACCACATCCACCCTGTCCAAACAACCTGTCAATGATGATGTGAAAGACTGCACGGTTGACAACCCTCACTTCAACTGCATGCCTTCTCCCCACAGATATTCTCACTTTATGCTTGACCTCATAATCCGCCTTCTGAAGTGCGGGGAGAGGAAATTGATTGCAAGCAACTTTTGACGAAAGCCTCCACTTCAAACTTAAGCTTGCCGTAGTTGTAACATACATTCCGGGAATTCTCCCACGAATCCGCAAATTCGATGAAAATGTATCGAAAGATGCTAAGATCGACCGATTAAATACACCTACCGTACAAACGTGCAAAGCCACCGGACAACCCACGCTTTTTGTGACCGCTTGTTCTGCATTATCCAACCTATGCTAGTTGCAAACGATTTGGCTTATGCAGGTCGATCGTGATTACATGAACACATCCGTTAGCATCGACCTGAATATTGATCACATCTGTGAAATCTGCCGGTATGGCCTAACTGCAGTGGTTAGTAATTGTGACCAATTTTGGATGCCTGCTCATAACATAGTGTTCTTTAGCAGATATTTTGACACTTTTTCCTAGTTGGAGTCATCAGTGAAGACACGACCGTCGTATTCCCTCGTTTGAATGACAGCAATCGACCGCACGCCCTCGGTGGACCCAAGAATATAATTGAGCCATGCTGGTCTAGTTTGTGACGATTTTCTGAAGAACTTGCAACCACGACAAACCCAACTGCATCCCAAAGATGTTCGTGTGCGACACTGTCCATAATCCAAGTACGACATTAGGATGACGGTACAACGACTGCCGCGCCCACCCGTACTCCAGTCCCTAACATTTCCCGATCGAGCGTGTCACACGCATCAAAAAGACCGTCGCAATCCGTTGAATTTGCACTAGGACTTAGAAGCACTGGCCACCCTCATTGCGTTTTATGCTAGTTCCGCCGATAAACACGCTAATCCTCCCAATGACACCATCAAACGATCATTATAACAGTGAGAGTAAAATATTGCCGCGCACCCGATATAGCTTGCGCTGACCATTGTAAAAATTGAAAAATCTCACTAGCCATGATGAATATCTTGGCTATATTTGACAGAACGCCCACCGCAACTATGGAAACGTTCCTTTACATGTCGCGAATGGCTGCTCCATTTTGACTTTGCGCCGATATTGAGAGTGTAATTACTGTTCAGCTATTCTTGAGATTACTTCCACATCCAAACAGTGGAAAACGCGCGACGAAAAAGGCTGTCAAAACGGAGACATCACGCGAAGTCATTCGTGCCATCACGATATGGAATCCGTGCCTAATGCAGACGTTGAATATATTTAAACTACATTCAACAAAAGTGCGGCGGCATGGAGTGAACTTAGCGTTTCAAACAAATAGTATCTTCGTGAATCCGTGAATGGCTAGCTTCACCGATCTGTCGTTCGACGACTGAACTGAACAGAAGTCAATGGATTTGTTCAGATAAATAAAACCGATAGATTTTAACGTCCAGCAAAAAGCGCACTGTAAGATTTGGAGGCTACGGTGATTCTTTTACCATAGTTCGGTTACAGGCGTATCTAATGATCAAAAGGAAATATCGACCTAATAAAACCCCTCTTGCCGATTTTAGTTTTTTATTGGTTTCCAGTAAAGGAGAGAATATGTATGTATTCTACATTCTGTTTATCTTGACTACGTGCGGGTTGAAAATTGAACATGAAGAGAAAATCCGAAGCTTTGCTGCTAAAGATTATACGATGCGAATGAGGTAATGGCGGATGCAAGCACAACTAAGCGTAGGGAAAAATCAGTGCTACTCAAGATGCGTCGGTGTTGTGCTGTAAAATGAATCCAGAATCAGATCATATATTTGGAACAAAAGAAAAAAACCTGTGTACACACCATCGAGAGAGAAAATGCGAATATCATTCCATATACGCCCTTGGTCCGCTAGTGGAATAGGTGACTTTCGGGACCAGAGCGGAGGAGATATCCTCACAGAAGCATAGATCAGATAAATGTTCATCCAAATTACGTTTGAAAATTTGAACTGTTTCTGACTGAACGACATTTGCCGGTAAACGATCCCAAAATGACACTAAGCGGCTAGAGAAGCTGTACCCATGAGGCACATTGTCCATGCGTGTGACAGTAAGTTTAAATCGATGTCCTCGGGTGATGTTGGTTGTTGGAATGTCAAACAAGAACATCAACTGCGGAAAATGGTTTAGGCACAAAACACGGAAAACATAGATGAGATCAATCCGGAGACGTCTGTATTCAAGTGT